TTCCATCAGGAAATTCTGTAATACTGCTTACAACACTGGTACAATTACAAACTGGTAAACAATAGGTAAATGCAAGATAAGAATAACTTAATAGGAACTACACGTAAAGTACAATAAGAAGAATCATGATCGGCGTTTAAATAGAAAGATGCACTGATCACATAGGAAATAAGGTTTAAACTCCTATAACTGAGATTACACAACAAATAGTGAAGGTTACAGTTCTTTGTACAAGACATTCATGTATTCATGTGCAAATGTTGCCCACGAAAAGCGGTTGCATGTATAGCTTTCACACACAGGTTTCTAGAGTATTTTTTTTTTTTTTACATCTTCACTTATTTTGTCTTTTTTTTAATCATATCGCTTTATTATAGTAGTCAACTATTTTTTTTTTTTATTTGAATGTCATTACCTATTAACGGATCATTTCTTTTTATTCTCATTCATAATCTTTTATTTTTTTTTATCATCATCCAACTGTCCATTCATTTTTTTTTTTTTTACACAAAAATGAAAACCCAAGAATCCACGATAATCTCAGCGTGGAGTGGAGTGGAGTTCCACGCCGGGCCGCAGTGAGGTGGAGTCCCCCGCCACAGCCCGCGCGGAGGAGGGGTTGGAATTCAGTTTTATCACAGATACTCTCGTGCAATGATGGGTGAAGCTCCAGCCGGGGAGAAGGGGGCACTCCGCCCACGCAAAGCCCCGCCCACACGGAATGGGGCACGCCCATTGGTTGGCGGCACGCCTGGGTATGGTATGGCGGAGGCGGGGTGAGAGGGACTGGAGGAAGAGGAAGAGGGGGGAGTGGAGTGGGTGAGGAAAGGAAGGAAGAAGGGAGGAAGAAGAAAGGGAGAAGAGGAAAGGGAAGAGGAGGAAAGGGAGAAGGGAGAGAAAATGGGTTATGAGGGTATACTGATATGACCTAGAATACGGGAAGGGAAAGAAATAGAATGAGAGGGGGAAGAGAAATAAAGAAGGAAACTAGACGGAAGAAAGGTAACCGAAAGAAGGAAGAGGAAAGGGTAGCGGAGAGGATAGAGGGTTCAAGGGGGAAGTGAAGAGGATGGAGGATTAAAAAAAAGGAAAAAATTGAAGGAGGATGCGTCAGGGTCTTGAGGACATTCAACGGTCACCCGCCAGTCCGAAAGGCTCTGAGTGCCAAGAGGCGGGGGGTGAGGGGGGAAGGGAGGAGGAGGAGGAGGGAATGCTGAAGGTGACGTACAAAAAAGGGACAAGGAGGAGGAGGAGGAGGAGGAGGAGGTAGAAGAGGAAGTCTGAGAGGAGAAGGCCGAGGAGGAGGAGAGAGGGGAGGGGGAGGGGCCACGGCGGAGAGGCGGTTGATGATAGTGAAGGTTGAGGATGGTGACAGGGTGACGCAAGGGTACTGGTGGCTGTCGCAGGCGGATGTCACTAATAATGCTTGGTTTTCGTGGTCGTGTGGGCTGCATTGTGACAACATGTGCTTGATGACACGGTGCATGACGACCAGTGCATGACGCGTGTGCTTGGTGTTGTGGAGGGGACAAAGTGAGGGGCAGTCAAGGCTGACCCTGACTGGGAGCACAACCATGATCAGTTAGAGGAACTGACCGAGGGGGACCGTCTTCTGTGGCCTCAAGGCGTATGTTCGTGTGTGTATGTGCACATATGCGTCTAGTATAAGTACTCATGTAGGTGCGCATGTATACCTAAATTGTGTGCGCGTGCGTGCATAACCTCCAATGCCTGCAAAATGATCGTCTTTCACACAGATAGGAGGTCCGAGGTAGCTCTCGCCTGCCCATCTCGCTGCCGTCACACAGCTGGGGTCCCCAGCACGGCAGCTGGTCTCCAACCCCAGCTGGCCAAGGAACAAAGTCTTGTGAAGTACTTGAATTCAAGAATCTATCATACTTTTTGTATGTACACATGCAGAGAATACTCATACAACTACAGTATTCACATTTGGTGTCTAGCAAGGCACGTATACTAGGACACTACTTGTGCGATCTACGTTTCTTTCATATTTTAATATAATGTACAGAAATGTTCGTGTTAGTTATTTTACAACTGCTACCTCTGTCTGTAACAGTTGCTACTATGTTTAACAGCTTCCGTAACTGGTGTAACAATAGTTATGAACCTAACAGTTGTTACCTATGAAGCTGTTACATTCTTGCCCTTTCTTTCGTTCTAACAGGTGTTACGATCCATAACAGCTGCTACTCTTCCTGACAGGTGACAGTTGAAGGTTTGATTGCACCTGGCTTGCTCCGCCTTGGGCAGCTCCAGGCGACCTCAGCGCCACCTGTCCCTCCGACGGGCGTCTTGGCGGACCTTGTCAATCAAGGTTCTGAGGGTGGCCATAGCGTCGTCCAAGCCCTCGCCCGTGAGCGCGCACACGGGCGCCACCGCCCACACCACGCCGTGCGCCTCGCCCAGACCCAGACTCATGGCCACCTCTTGGGCTGTGCGGGCGTGAATCTGGTCCTGCGGGAGAGAGAAGGGAGACAGAATTAGTCGCTGAAGATGGCAAAGAAAGCGAGATAAGAAAGACCTTACTCTTAAATCCTCCTGTTTTATGACCTAACAATAAAGACATCAAAAGCTCAAAAGCGCTCCCTTGCCAAATTTCTCACATGAAAGAACCTCGACAGAAAGTTCCGTCAGCGTCGCGCCGATCGTCAAGGAAGCGCCGTCGACAAAGGCCCAACAAAGGCCTGGAGTGCAAGATAATCCGTACCCCCCCTCCCCACTGTCTACGCCCACGTGTCCCCCGCCAGATCACACGTAACAACACGACAATGGCCCAATGACTGAAACCCGAAGGACTCCGCTCCGGCCGAAGGGGAGGAATGCCAAGCCGGAGGAGGCGACCCGGACGCCTGCGCTCTGGCCCTCCTTCAAAGGCATTCCTCCTTTATCGTTATGGGGGTCATTATCCCATTCACTTCTGCCTCTGCGCGACGCGCGCGCGTTAAGTGTGCGAGCTTAGAACCCCAGATGCGCCCTTGCCTGTTTCAATCTCATCACGACCTCATTGCAAATTATTAATTATCCGTCAGATGGTGAAAGAACATCCACCCCCCTTTTAATGATGCTTCTCAGCCATACAAACACGCATTGCTCTTGAGGGGGGGCGGGCCTGGCATACCACAGCGCACGTCCATCAAGATCGAGACGAGAGATAAAGAGGGAGAATGTTTGGATCCATTTTAGTCTTCCTCCACTTGAGATGCCGTCGCCCCCGACCCTGCCTCGTGGGTGATAATGGAACTTGTGCAACTGCAATGGATCTGCCATCTAGGGCCATTCTCGTCCGGGCTAAATGGAAGGAATCATTTAACCGTCAACAGTTTTTTTTATATCTCTCATCGCCTCATCGGAGACTCGAGACTCTCCTTTCTTTCCTTCTATTTCTTTCTTTTTCTCTCATCCTCCCTATCTTTCTTTCTGTTTCTTTTTCTTTCTCTATTCCCCATTCTCCATACCTTTCTATCTATTTCTATCTCTTTCTCTTTTTTCTCTTCTATACATCTTTCTTCTTATACCTATCTCTTTCTCTCACTCTACCCACTAAACCTATCTAACTATGTCATTCCTCCCCTTTCTCGCTCTCTCTTTATCAGTCACTCACTTCAGTCTACGGTTGATTGAAACAAAGACACCTCAAAGGTCAGACGTCAACTACACATCAAAGGAATGTCACACCTACGCCCCGCGATCAGCACGAGTTCAAATCACAGTCATCCCTCCCCTCCCTCTCTCCCCTCATCTCCCTTCTCCCTCTCTCTCCCCCCTCATCTCCCTTCTCCCTCCCTCTCCCCCCTCATCTCCCTTCTCCCTCCCTCTCCCCCCTCATCTCCCTTCTCCCTCCCTCTCCCCCCTCATCTCCCTTTTCCCTCCCTCCCCTCTCCTTCCCGTGCCCTGTCTTCTCCCTCTCCATCTGCTCCTGTTGCTACCACTTCCCTATCGCATCCACCCCTTACCGTCCCCCTCCTTCCTCCCTCCCTTAACCCTAGTCACCCCCACCCCCCTTCCCGTCACCCTTGTCAGGTTCTAGAAACAAGGCGTTGACAAGCATCCTCCTACGCGGTTCCCACACATCGTCACCTTTGTGTCTCCACCCTCATACTCCCCTAATACCTCATCTCTAATACCCTCCCTCTTCCCCTTCATACCCTCCTAATACCTCATCCCTAATACCCACCCTCTTCCCCCTCATACCCTCCTAATACCTCATCCCTAATACCCACCCTCTTCCTCTCATCCCTCACCCTAACCAGCATTGCATAAGAACTCGGCATTGTCAAGTCCAATCGCAGCCATACCCTTCACCCTTTGTCGCAGTGGGTATAGGGTGTGATTGTTATCCATGCCGTGTGTGTCGCTCCTTCCCCGCAGACTAGCGTGACTAGTTCTCCGTGAATGAATTGGGTCTACACGGTTTGTTTATTACGCTGCGAAAGGAAAATTGTGCGTGAAATGTATGTTATTCAAGTGATATTTAGTGTGTTTGTATGATCCTATTCATAAGGTTCGCATACCAGCGTCGACACGCACAGACGCACGCACTCACTACCTCCCACGCCGGCAAAGACAAGCCGTGCGCATCCCGCTTGCTTGTTTCTGTAAGCCCCTTTGACACAACAAACCGCCAAGACCTTTCTGACGAACTAAATGAAACGTTTTAGAGCGTCAGAAAATTTAAAAAGAGACTAGCCACAAATGCAGTCATTACAAACCGTTTTACACGCAACTCCCTTCTCCCCCTTCCTCTCCCCCCCCCTCTTCTGACGAGATGCAGCATCCCTGTGGTCATGAAGACTGTCGGTCTTTGTGAGGAGATGAATCACTCTCTCCCTCCCCCATGCGCGACGCTGCATGACCCGGCACAAACACAACAGGCAGGTTCCCTCTAACGCTTCCTTCCTCCTCCCACGTTGTACGCCCGCGCCCTACGCCCTCCCAACTCTCACGCCCACTTCCCACGCCAACTTCCCGCACACACACACATACACACACGCTCACGCCCACCGCCGCCGCCCGCCCACCGCCCGTCACTGGCCGAGGCCGCCATCCCTACATCCTGTAATAACCACTGTCCTGAAAGCACTCGCATTATCCCACGTATCAGCGCTGTCGCCATAGTATCCGGCGCGGGTGCAGGCGAACCCCCGCGCCCTGCTGCCACCTTGGGCGCCGACGCCTCCGCCTCCGTCTTGCCCGGTCACCCGATATGCCGTTTTAATTCTAGCGTTGCACGGTGCGGATTCGGTTGCGCTCCTTCTTCTTCTCCTCCCCCCCTCTTTCCTCTGCTTGCTCTTCTTCTTCTTCTTCTTTTTCTCCTCCTTCTTCTTGTTCTTGTTCATCTTCTACTTTTTCTCCCCCTTCTCCTTCTCCTCCTCCTCCTCCTCCTCCTTCTTCTTCTTCCTCCTCCTCCATCTTCCCCTCATTCCCTTCGTTTAACCATCCCCTTTTGCCACTGCTCCCTTTTCTTCTTCTTCACGTTACACTTACTCCTGATTTGCACCTTTCATGCCTTCACTAACCTCCTTGCACGCCCATGCATGCCGTTGCCTCGTGCGCGGTCTCTCGGCCTTTCACTTGACTCTTTAATACCAATCCCAGCGTTTATTCGCCGTTGCCCTTTGCATGCCTTTCTCTTTGTTGTTCCCCTCTTTCTCCTCTCTCTATTCTTGTCTTTCTTTCTATTTTTTTTTCTCACTCTTTCTTTTTCTGTTTGTTCGTTTGTGTCTGTTTGTCTGTATATCTTTTTATCTCTGTTTGTTTGTCTGTCTGACTCTGTATATCTGTTTATCTCTCTGTTTGTTTGTCTGTCTGTCTTTCTGTCTGTCTGTCTGTCTGCCTCATCCAAACCTTCCTTCTCACATCCTTCCTCATCTGTACACACATCCTTACTCTAATCCTTGTCCCTCTCCTTGAGCTGAAGGACAACTCCTACACTTCCTCTCTCTCTCTCTCTCTCTCTCTCTCTCTCTCTCTGTCGCTCTCTCTCTCTCTCCCCGTTCTTCCTCCTTCATTTTCTCTTCCTCTGGCTTGGACACCCTCCCCTCCCCTCCCTATTCTCTCCCCCCCCTCCCCCTCCCCCAGCAGGACCAGCGGGAGTTCACACGGCCTCATCCTCCCCCGCAGGAACTCGTCTTCCTCGCCTGCTCTTCCTCCCCGCTCCCCCCCTCTCCTTCTCTCTCTCTCTCTCTCTCTCTTTCTCTCTCACCTCCCTCTTTTCTCTTTCTCTCTCTTTCTTCTTTTTTCTCCTCTTCCTCCGATCTCTCTCTCTCTCTCTCTCTCTCTCTCTCTTTCTCTCTCTCTCTCTCTCACTCTCTCTCTCTCTCTCGTATTTCGTCCTCCCCCTTCTATCACTCATTCCCCTTTTTTTTTTGTCTCTCTCCTTCCCTCAACCTCTCTCCCCACCTCCTTCTCCCCCCCCCCCCCCCCTTCCACTTCCTCTCCTCCTACTGGCACTCGAGCCTCTGGTAGCCCCCACACACACCGACCGCCATGGTGGGACTACGCGGAGGGCTACAGTAGCTCCTTCCTACCTGCAGCAGCCCCTCGACTTGAAAAGGATACGTCAGTCATTTTAAATTTAATAACTTGAAACATTATGCTAAAGCCGGGGTGATTTTACTACGAGTCAGGATGTGACTGGTTGTTCTGAAGCCACTTTTTTTTCGTCTCATTACCGATCACTTAGGTGTTTTTTTTTATTTATTGTCTCGGTTCGATTGTTTGTCTCTGTGTCCTTCTCGCTTTCTAATTTTCTTTGTAATTTTTCATCTTCCTCTCTTTCTTCTTCAGTGTATCTTTTGTTGCTATTCTTTTTCTGTTTCTTCTTCTTCTTCTCTCTCTCTCTCTCTCTCTTTCTCTCTCTCTCTCTCTCTCTCTCTCTCTCTCGTTATCTTACCTGGAAGTTCGCCAGCACCAGAAGAGGCGGGGAGGGCATGCCTAGCTGTACTGACGACGCCCGCGACTTCTGTCAAGGGAGAAACAGAAGGTTAAAATCTGGACTTATCAATCTATCTATCTGTAAATCAGTTCATGCATCTACCTCTCTATACTTTATGTCCATCCCACTTCTGGCCGTCGCAAAGAAGCAAACGCGGCGGCCTTACTCCTTATGCAACGGCCCCCTTCCCCAGCCGCTGCCCCTTCTCGGGACCACCGCCGCCGCGCCGCCGCCGGCAGACCGGCCCATAAAGGAAGGAAGGGAAGCTCGTCCCTCGAGACTGACCTTGAGGACTCTCGCCAGCTCGACCCTCGCCTCCTCCATCATGTCGCCCATGGAAGCCGAATCCACCACGAAGACGATCCCGTCGGTGGCGCGGGTGTAGGACGACCACAGCGGCCGGAGTCGCTCGCCGCCGCCCACGTCCCAGCACGACCACCGGTAACCGCCGCCCCAGACCTGGTGGGGGAGGGGGAGAGGGTCGTGAGTGGGGGAGGGGAGGTAATTTTTGGATATAGTTTTTGTAGAAGGGTTGATAGATATAAGGGAGGAGAGAGAACAGACAGACAGACGGACAGAGATAGATAGATATATAAAGAGAGGGGAGGGAGGGAGGGAGAGAGAGAGAGAGAGAGAGAGAGAGAGAGAGAGAGAGAGAGAGAGAGAGAGAGAGAGAGAGAGAGAGAGAGAGAGAGAGAGAGAGAGAGAGAGAAAGTGGAACATATACAAAAAGACATACATATCATCAAACGATTTCACACACAACGACATCAACACCATCTCTCCCAAGCTCAACTTACTTTCTCGTGGTTGAAGCCTATAGTAGGTGTGGTGGCCACGTAGCAACGGTACTTGAGGCGTGTGAGCACTGTGGTCTTGCCTGAGCCGTCGAGACCCACGAGGACGATGTGTTTCCGCCGCTTCACCACGCCTTCTACAGCGCGAGCCACTCCTGCCCTTTTTCTCGACCAGGAATCCATCACGAGGGCGTGTGTTTGTCGAGGGTGTGATGGGGTGGGTTGAGGTTTATCTTTTTTATTTTTATCTTTTTTTTTAAATCTCTCTTTTCTTTTTTTGTGTGTGTATGATGAGGGGCGCTGACCGTCAGCCTTAAGGAGGGACGGCTGACAGTCTCGTTTCGGTGAGTGACCCTTTCAAGGGCTTCTCGAAGTCGGTTTTCAGAATCGTTGAATTCGTGAGGCACGTCCGTGTTCACCTTCCAGCTTCCCTCCTGAAAAAACAACAGATTTTTCTTTATTTACGTTACTTATATATACCTGGTAACAAAACAAAAACAAACAAACAAAAATAACGGCAACAAATTCGTAAACAATCTCGGAAACCAAAAAGGACACTTCATGTCACAAGATTAACGCACAGACCGAGCAACCAATCTCGCAAGAGAAGACAACCATTAATAACAACGCGAGAATCGTCTCAAAGTTTTCCCTCGGCCAGCAGATGAAATATGTCGTACAAGACTGAAATCCCGACAGGTTCCCTTACTTAGCCGTGCGTTTTCGACCGCAACAGGAACACGCATACGGCCGTAGGAGTAGATGGCGTTATTTCCCACAACTCCATCTCAAGTGTGACGAGATGAGGCAACATCTGTCTGCTCGTCTACCGTTCTGTCGGGAAAATAGCCTCGGTTGCGGGTAGAAGTGTATGTGTGCTGTTATGCTACTTGCGATAATGACTATGATTTGAGTCTGGTATTGTATGTATGCGGCTTTAAGTGTAGGCATATCAACTAATTTTCGGATCTAAATGTAATTCTGTAAGTATTGGTTATTTGATATTGGTGTAAGCATAATGCTGCTAATTCTCAGATAGGTTTTACGTCTGTTACTACAAATTCTTAGCTGTATGTGAACACATGTCAATTATAATTTCCGAAAGTTGGTTTACATATAGTCAGTAAATACGCGTCTTTTACAACTGCAGAGTTGTAACAACTAATTTACAACTGTAATCATCCATTTCTTACCCCCATTTCACAGAGACAAGAATAAGTTAACATTTATCTTCATCCTTTGCTGTTGATATGCAACGTCCAGAGCAGAATAGGAATGTGCTCGTTTATCTCTTGCTAGTGTCTAACCCTCAAATTACAAAGAACAAACACGCAAATTTCTCATACAAGTTGTTTATGCCAACGCTTGAACTGTAATCCGAAATGTTAAATTACAAATTACAAATCATAGACCTAAAGTTTTCAGTTCTACGTAAACACTCAAATCCGGAATACCTAAAATTCTTAGGAGTTTGTAAACCCTCAAATTACAAATCATAAACGCACGAAGTTCTTAGATGTATGTAAACCCTCATATTTCAATTAATAAATGTCCGAAGATTCTCAGGTGTATGTAAACCCTCAAATTACAAATTATAAACGTATGAAGTTCTCCGGACCGGACTGGCAAGGTCTGGGAATCGAGTGTTAATCAACCTGTGCGCAAGAAAGGTGAGACAAGGCGACTCTCGCATTTGACTTTGTGGCATTTTCAATTATTCATATATGCTCTTATCTTCTTTTTGGGAGACTAGATCATTATCATTATCATGTTTTATTCAATTCATTCATTTATCTGTTGTCGTTTTTTTTTCTCCATCTTTTTTTTTTCTCCAGAAGCAGTGTTGCTAAGGCGGGGTAGCGATAGGATTTTGTTTTGTGTCAGACTCGTTTGCACTGAAGAAATATTGCAGTTCAGGTGACGTAATTGCAGTGCTGCTAATGTCCGTGTTCAGTCATCCCTTTTAAGTCAGTTTTTTATACGATTTTCTTAGAACAAATGACCAAAATGGAAGAGCATTTTTTGGATATTATTGCGAAGAAGAAGAAGAAGATGATGATGATGATGATGATGATGATGATGATGATGATGATGATAATAATGATGATGATGACGATGACGATGGTGATGACGATGATGATGATGAATGATAGCGATGACGATGACGATGACGACGACAATAAAGGTGAAAGATGAAACAAAATAATGGTAAGACGGAGAAGATGCAAAATAGAATGAATAAACCAAAATGCACACATACAAACTAAAATAAACATCAGAATTTTTCAACCGTTTCCATCTAAGTTGTATTATGCTTGCTATTTTTTCCGCGGGTTAATAATCCCAATGTTCTCATCATCATGATAACCGCAACAGAGTTTTTCGTTTTTTTTCCGAATGCTTTAACCACGTTGCGAAATTCGGCATAGAAAGAGAAGAGAGGGAGAGAGAGAGAGGGAGAGAGAGAGAGAGGAGAGAGAGAGAGAGAGAGAGAGAGAGAGAGAGAGAGAGAGAGAGAGAGAGAGAGAGAGAGAGAGAGAGAGAGAGAAAAGGGAAATCAGTGATATTTCCTATTGATCGACTTGGCTACATTTCCGAACCATAACAACGACTTTCTAAACAGAAAGTCAGCCTAGATATAACAGTGTATAGCTGTGTGCATGTTGCAGATGTAGACACTCGGACACATACATAGCTAAATACATACATACACACATAGCAAGAGATAGATATGCACGTACGTGTGTGTGTGTGTGTGTGTGTGTGTGTGTGTGTGTGTGTGTGTGTGTGTGTGTGTGTGTGTGTGTGTGTGTGTGTGTGTGTGTGTGTGTGTGTGTGTGTGTGTGTGTCACGCAAATATATAAATTCGTCGTAAGTGCGCATTGTTAGCCACGGTCCTCCGCTCGAAACTGGGCTTACGACATCTCCGCAGCCTCCAAGGTCGACGACGCGGGGAACGCACCTCCGACCCTCCTGCGTCCCGCCGCCGCCATCTTGCTTTGGGTCGGAACGGAAACGGGGAAGGCAACTGATTTTTAAAAGTTATTTTCACCGCAATATTAATAATGATGATATGATAATAATAAGAAAATGTAATGAATAAGATATATAAATAATATAACGAGAAAGAGAGAGAGAGAGAGAAAAAAAAAATCTGACCGCGGCGCCAATTTCGCGGAATATGGCCATAAAAGGGTTTTGTCTCGCGTGGTCAATCGTGCGCAGCTGCCGCCTTGCCTGGGCGTCCGTGCGTCGTTCGCGGTCGCTTCGGGTCGTGTCGCAACGCAGGGACGACCCAGCCAGGTAGTTCGCTGGTGGTAGGTCTTCCCTCGTAATGCTTGGTGCGACCTCAATACGTGATTACGAGATTTCGAGGGTTAATTGGTTTCGCTTGCGCCTTTTTTTCGTCTTCAAATTAGTGCATGGCCATGGTTGGGTTTCGTAACGAAGCCAGTGGCAAGATAAAGTGATACCGCATGAATTTGCGTGTTCATTATATATATATATATATATATATATATATATATATACACACTTCTATGTATATGTATATATGTATATGTGGTATATATATATATATATATATATATATATATATATATATACACACACTTCTATGTATATGTATATATGTATATATGTATATATGTGTATATATATATATATATATATATATATATATATATATATATATATATATATATATATATATATAATCATACACATACATGCACATATCCATAAAATCACGTATACACATCTATCTATGACTGAAAAACAGGCAAACAGATACATATATAAATACATACAGACATACATAGACAGACGATAATTCCAGAAAGATTGCAAATGAAAATGAATGCCAAATGTAACCTACAATTATCACTTCATGAAATGTTTTCCTCGTGACTGCCACTCTGCATTCTCGAAGATTCCGCCCATTCCCCGCCAAGGATAGAGGGACATAGAGGCGAAAGTCCCGCGCCCTGACCACACCCCTCTCTGGCACGGCATAAAAACGGCATATTTTTCTCGCCTCCTCCTCTTCTCCCCCATTCCGTGGCACAAAATCAAAACGGAAAACGACCAAAAAAAAGAAAAAAAAAAAAAGTGAGATAATTTGCATTTAAGAAACTATCGAACCACAAGGGAATCAGCGTTATAAATCTTAAGATAAAAGACATCATGACGAATTCCTTCTCTCGTGATATTGCATGACCAAGCCCTCAATCAACAGCTGAAGGCCATGCACGGTACCCAGGCGAGCGAGACAATAAGCAAAAATAGCATGGTGAATGGGCTATAAGAATGTCGTTGTTTGCGTACACGGGAGGGTGATGTGTACGTGGAGGGAGGGAGGGAGGGAGGGATGGGGGGTGGAAAAGAGGAATGGAGGGAGGAAGGGAGGGAGGAAGGGATGCGGGGAGGGAAGTAGGGAAGGTAAGTAGGAGGGATAGACAAGGTGGAAAGAGGAATGGAGGAAGGGCCAGAGAGAGAAAGAGAGAGACTTCCAGACTGAGGAAGACAAACAGACAGAGAGAAGGAAAAACACAAAAAATCTATATGCTTGTACATCTGTCTGAGCGTCTACCCTCTTTCCTTTTTCCCTTCATTAAAAAAAAAAAAATTTTTGACACAAACAAAGAGTGCGTATGTGTCTTTTTGCCAGCCGCCGTGTGTGGGAAGAACGTTTTAAGCCCGCGGTCCCTCCAGCCCTCAGCGGCCGCCTTGTCCACAAAGGTCACCGGCGCATGATCACGTTCTTTTCATTGTGCGTTTCCTGTGGCCAAAAACGTCCTGCCTCCCAGAACCCGCCGGCCATCTCGCTGCCTGCTTGTTTACCTGCTTGTCCGCTTGTCTGGTAGTTCTGTGCTTGCCTTGTTTGAATGTTTGCAAGTACGTTTGTTTGACTGTTCGCTTCCTTGTCTATTTGCGCCTGTCCGTTTTTGCTTGTTTCTCCGTTTGCTGTATTATCTGCTTGTCCGTTTCTTCGTTTATCTGTTCCTGTTTAAGTCTATCTACTTATTTGTTGGCCTGGCTGTTTGCCTGCCAGCCTACCTCCTTGCCTGCCAGCCTGTCTGTGTGTTTGTTTGTCCGTTTGCCTCGGCCTGCTTTTCCTGCCCGCGTGCCCACCGCCGCCTACCCTGCTGGTGTCCCTCTGGCTGCCCACCAGCTTCATACCCGGTCTATTAACTCGATTGCCTATCATTCTCCCTGTCTATCTACTGGTGTCCCATCTCCTCTCGATTCCGTCTATCTATCCCCTTCGGTCCTCCTCGTCATCTATTCGTCATGCATTACCTCTGACCATGTATCCACTCAGCTGGGTACAATTGGCTCCTCGTCATGCACATCCATCCTTATGTATCCAACCACGTATCCAATCACACATCCACTCCACAATCCCTTTATCAATTTACCCTTTACACGTGTCCGTCTACATCAACGGCTCAATTACCGATCTATCTTTCTATTCACTCAACTTGTCATCAATCCATCTCTTGGTATTACGTGTGTCATTTGTCGAGCCGGACGATTTGCCAGTCATCTCCTCCAGTCTTCTCTCCAGTCAGTTAGTAAGAGAGTCAGTCAGTCAGCTAGTTAGACAGGCAGTTAGTCGGACACACAATCAGACAGTCAATCAGTCGGTAATCCAGTCAATCCGACATACACTCAGCGAAACAGTCAGTCAGTCAGACGGACAAGCACTACATCAGACAGCCAATCAGTCAACAAGGAATCCAATCAATCCACCACACAGTCAGAAAATCAGTCAATGAGACAGTCAATGAACCAGTCAAGTAAGACAATCAGTCAGTGAGACAGTCAGTGAACCAGTCAGTAAGACAGTCAGCGAATCAGTCAGTGACAGTCAGCGAGACAGTCGGCCCTTCCGCGTCTTCTTCCGCCCTGCCCCTTCCATCTCTTTTTCCGGCTCACATACAATTAATGTATCCTGTCTCGTGCTCTTTCTTGTCTAACTCTATTTGAGCGTGATTTATACACCTGCAAACTGCATACGTGTGTGTGTGTGCTCTGTTTGTTTGTACATGCTTTAAATTCGTATAGTTAATGGGTATTTCGTTGTCTTTTTCTTGGGTAGTATTATTTGGATTCATAAGATGTGTGGGTAATAACAATAATAATAATTGTAATAATAATAATAATAATAATAATAATAATAATAATAATAATAATAGTAATAATAACTAATATAATAATAATAATAATAGTAATAATAACTAATATAATAATAATAAATGAAAATAGTAATAGCACAATCATCATGCAAATTGCAACAAAGAATTTAGATGTCATGGGCACGCTTGCAAGACGGAAATGTACTACGAGGTAATTATCGACCGACATGCGTGTTTGATATGCCCGAGGCTTCCTGCATTTTACGACGTCGGAGGGAAAAAAGAGAGAGAAGAAGACGGAAGACTGCAAAGAAAACGAGGACAAAAACATCTACTGTTGACGTAGCAAGCAGACGAAAAGGCTGTGAGCAAAAAGAAAATGAAATGATAATAAAAGAAAAGAGTCGAAGATGTGAAACTACGGGAGGAGAAAGGGGGAAGAAAGAAAGAAATGATAATAAAAGAAAAGAGTCGAAGAGGTGAAAATACGGGAGAAGAAAGGGGAAGAAAGAAAGAAATGATAATAAAAAAGACTCGACGCAGCCGGTGGTTCGCTGTTCACCCGGGAGCCACACTCAACATGCAGGTGCGGAGACATGACCTGACTGGCATCTCAAGACGACAACGTAAGAACGCGCCTCTTCGTCCCGGAACTATTGAGTCGTTTTTCCAGTTTGTATCGTGGCGGTCGTTCCCTCGGTCTCTTCTTCTCTTCCTTCTTCTCCCTTCTCTTCTTCCTTTCACTCGCCGGACCCCCTACCTTCACTGCTCGCCACCTCCCAAGGCGTTCATCTGTGTCTATATGTCATATCAGCTCCTTCACCATGACTCTCCCACTCTCTCACTCTCTCTTTCTCCTCTCTCTCTCTCTCTCTCTCTCTCGCTCTCTCTCTCTCTCTCTCTCTCTCTCTCTCTCTCTCTCTCTCTCTCTCTCTCTCTCTCTTCCTCAGGATTATCCACCACGCCTTCATTCACGAGCGTTTCACTCTGTATATTGATCCAGCCATCATCTTAAATATACATCCACTCGACACGCTAAATGCCTCATCTCGCCCGCCGACTCATTCATTAGTGTCATCAAGCGCCGGAGTTGCGCCCACGCCCATGCACCGCCCATGCACATTGCAAACAGTCTGCGTAATCCATCCTAAACGTTCTGCATCGGCGGCCTTCCATTTCGGGATCGGAATGCGTTTTAACACTTTTCGTATTTATACTTTTTTCTTTCTAGAGTCATTGTTAAATCGCTGGATATTCGGCCCTGTTGACATTTCGTCCTCGCTCTGATATCAAACGCTTCACAATGCAAGGGGGATGATTCAACATTTCTATTATCATTAAACTGATTAGTGTTTCCAAGGTAGACGCGCGTCGGCCACAAAGTCCACCTGGCTGTTTTTTTCAGAGCCATTGGACAAGTTCCAAGTCGATGACACAAGAGCATGTACAGATACAATGTAAAAAAAAAATGCAAGTTGTAACTGTATAATGATGCACATCAATCAGAAAAAGAAAAAAAAATCAGGAAAAAAACTATCACCAGAATTTCCAGTAGATCGGGTAAACTCACCTACGAAAGGCCCGGTCGTGAGAGGCGTCCAACACAGTCACAAGGCGCTCCCTTACTAAAGAAACGGTAACACTGCGAGCGCTCGGCAAAGGCGCGGTCGCCCGTGAGCACAGGACAAGCGACAGATACTGACTGAGTCGCAATGTTGAAGCTGCGGGCCTCGAGGCGGGAGACGCGAGATCACCTAGAAGCGCGCGGGTGAGGGAGGGGGGGGGGAGGGCGCGGGGGGGACGACCGGAGCAACGGACGACACGTGAGAGCGACTGCCGGGACAATACTGGTTCATGCGATAGCGACGACGGCGCTGGTGGTAGGTTGAGGGGGAGGGGGAGCCGCAGGGAAGGGGAGGGGGATAAGGGGTGGCGCCCGTGCGAGGGTGTGGGAGCTTCTATCACCTCGTATCAAGTTTCCCCTTCATGTCTAATCTGTCGGCCCGAGTCCCTCCTGCCCGGATTGGAATGCAATGAGTAACCCGCGGGCCATTGAGGTTTTCCTGCCTTTCCTTGTTTCCTGGTCTGGCAGTCGCCCGCGAGGATTCCGATTTCCCGACGCAGGAGCGCCTACAGGAAGCTCTGCTATTAGTATTCAAGACAAGTGGTCGTTAAGGAACCATCTAGTAAACAACCTGAGAGGTGACGTCACCTATCCCACGTCATGAATACGTCATCAAGTGAGGGTTCAAGTGGATGACGTCACCGCTCAGCAGGAGTACCAACCGCCTCCAACTTCCCCCGGGGACACGTTGCAAGTTTGAAAAACATGCAGAGGAACGCGGGGCTGCAACGGTCCTTTGCAAGGGTCCTTACGGCAGCCCCCTTGGCGTGACTCACCACCCCCACCCACCTCCGGGGATCATGCCCCGCAGTGCCGCCCGCCCGCACGCAATCCCGCCCACGCCACACCTGCACACCTCCCCCCCTCCCTCCCTCCCCGCCTGGCGCCAGCGGATAATTAATTCGTCCATGCTTTAAATACAATGCTGGATCTGTTTACGTTCCCTTCCGTTCGTTGCAGACGGGGCGGCACTGGCCTGCTAGTGCGTGGATGATAGATAGATTGATAGATATAGATAGATAGATAGATGGATGGATGGATGGATGGATGGATGGATGGATGATGGATGGATAGATAGATAGATAAACAGATAGATAAATAGATAGATAGAGAGAGAAAGAGAGAAAGAAAGAGAGAGAGAGAGAGAGAGAGAGAGAGAGAGAGAGAGAGAGAGAGAGAGAGAGAGAGAGAGAGAGAGAGAGAGAGAGAATGTGTGTGTGTGTGTGTGTGTGTGTGTGTGTGTGTGTGTGTGTGTGTGTGTGTGTGTGTGTGTGTGTGTGTGTGTGTGTGTGTGTGTGTGTGTGTGTGTGTGTGTGTGTGTGTGTGTGTGTGTGTGTGTGTGTGTGTGTGTGTGTGTGTGTGTGTGTGTGTGTGTGTGTGTGTGTGTGTGTGTGCGTGTGTGCGTGTGTGCGCGTGTGTGAGTGTGTGTGTGTGAATGAGTGAGTGAGTGAGTGAGTGAGTGAGTGAGTGAGTGAGTGTGTGTGTGTGTGTGTGTGTGTGTGCTTGTAGATATATAGATGGAGAAATAGAAAATAAAGGTAGATACACAGATGGATAGATAGACAGAAAGGTACATACTTACATAAAGAGAGGGGTAGGAAGAAGACAGACTACCAAAGAAGGCAGGCAGACAGACAGACAGACAGACCATTCCCTATCCCCTTTCATCAAATCCTTCTATCGCCCAAATTCCATCCCTGGACATCACCCTCCGTCTTCTCACTCCCACTTCCTCTCTCAGTTCCTCTTTGCTATCTCCCTCCTTTACTACTAGCCCTGCCCCCTTCTCGCCCCCCCCCCTCCCTTCCCCAACACAAACACACCCATTGTATCTCTTCATATCATCAGTGTTGCCAGTACGATAAGCCTCAGGGTGAGTCACGGGCGCAACCCTCCGCCCGCGCTCAATCAACAGGCGACGGGCGGCGGTCGGGAGCCCTAATCATCCCGCCGATTCTACGCTGCAATCTCCCCGCGCCGGAAGTGGGCGGCGCCGATGCCCGGATGTCACGACCCGTGGCAGGCGGCGGCGCTGACGAAGTACTCCCGGCGCTTCGGAGGAAAAACGATAACTTAGAAGAAAAACGAGGAAAAATAGGAGAAATAAGTGTGCTGCTCTTTTTGTCCAGAAGGCGAGTCTCCTTCACGCCACTCACGTAAAGGGTATTTAATATCGCCATTGTTGGTTTTGTGTCGGTCATAATGATACCTTTGAAGCCCTCGGTCGGGGGATCGCCTCGGTGTTGCCACAATGCGTAATGGCTCTGCCCGCGGGCGCTCGGACAAGGTTGAGAGGGTCAATTAACAAGCAACTGTTGTTTCACAAGCGGCCTCTCGACGGTAGTGCTTGTGCTGGTAGTTGTCTAATGGCGTGGAGGCTGCGCTCTCTCTCGGGGGAAGTCTTACAGGACCTGTTGCAACATGACTACAATACCAAGGTCTGTCAAGGTGACCTGTTGCAACACGACCAAAACATTAAGAGTCTCTTTGGGTGTTCGCGTTGCACCACGCTCGTACGACCGCAAAATGGGTTATCCGCTGACACATGATCGGGATAGGTGATTTATTGCAACGTGAGACACAGCAACAGGATCAAAACATCAAGTTTAGTTAAGCTGGCTTGTTGCAATATGGTCAAAACCCCCTTTTTACTGCCAGAGCTTTTTATATCAAGGTTAATAAAGGCAATCTATCTCCGCAAGGTCAGATCATGCAAAACACGTCAATATGACTTTCTGAACGATGACCATAACAAGATATTTCATGACCACTTTACACCCTGCCCTCAGCCTTGAAAATTATTAGCATGCAAAGTTACGTCACAACCACAAGACAGACGAGGTTAGCCAACAGAACACTGAAACCAGAACACAAGCCGTAACACGTTATAACATATGGCATCAAAGGGCCAAGTGACATAACACAACGTCAGGCAGACCCGCCATCACGTAACTGCTCGGTCACCCTAACACAGGGCCGTAACGCTGGTTAATATTAACGTCTCTTAAGTGCGGTGGCATAAAAGGACGAGGGAGAGGACAGAAAAGAGAGGGGAGACAGAGGAAAAGGAAGAGGGGAGAAGGGAGAACGGAAAGGGGAAAGGAGAGAGAAGACAGGAGATATAAAAGAGGAGAGAGGGGAGAGAAAGGATGGGCGAATAATGAAGAAAGGAGGTAGAAGAGAGAGGGAAGAGGAAAGAGGGTAAGAATCTAGAGAAGAGAGGGAAGTGTATGGAAGAGAAAGAAGGGAGAAGAGTAAGGAGAAAGAGGGGAAGAGTAAGTAGAACAAAGGAGAAGGACGATAAAGAGGAATGAGCGAGGGGAGATGATAGAGAGGGGAAGGGGGGAAGGATAATAAGAGAGAGAGGGGAGTGGAGAGGAGAATAAGGTAGAGGGGAGGCACGAGGGGGAGATCAAAGAGGAACGACAGGGAGGGATAAGAGAAGAGATAAGAAAGAGGGAAGATGAGAGAGCGGGAGAAGGTGCCGGGCGGGGCGGGGAAGGGGGTGCCCCGAAGTGCCACGTTACAGAGACAACACAAAACTCATCATCGGCGATAAAGCCTCGTAATCAAGCATCGGGATGAGTCATGTTTATCACCGCATTAAATCAGCTGGAAGAGAATGCGCGAGCGAGACACCCGCGCAGGTGGCACAGTAGAGACTTCTAGATTAATCAGCTGATTCCCTCACCAATTTATCATTTGCGGTGTGACGTCATTCGCGTGTTACGTCATCGGAATATCATTAAGAATCATTCCTGAGATTGCATTGTAGCTGACGATTAATTAATAACGTTTGGAAAAAAATAATTGATATTAAATAATCAGGAGTTGCGATTAATTTATGTGCTTAAACGCACGCGCGTGTGTGCGTGCGTGTATGTGTGTGTATTTTTTCACCAAGACTGACAGACAGACAGACAGAAATTATTGTGTGTGTGTGTGTGTGTGTGTGTGTGTGTGTGTGTGTGTGTGTGTGTGTGCGTGTGTGTGTGTGTGTGTGTGTGTGCGTGTGCGTGTGCGTGTGCGTGTGCGTGTGCGTGTGCGTGTGCGTGTGCGTGTGTGTATACGTTTTTACCACAACGGAGGTATTTCTTGGAAACTCTGGCTTGCAAAATCTCACGTTCAGGATCTCTCTCGGTGGAAAAAAGGACGGATGTTGGAAAGAACTTGAAGAATGCGGCAGACACGATGACCGCAGTGTTGGCAATCGTGAAACACGTGGGAAGGGAAATGGGATAACAAACGTACAAGAAATATTGGTACTAGAAGAAGAGCCCATTTTCATCCTTGTAGCCTCCCTAAATAAAACATTTAAATGAATTGAAACAGACCAAATTGAGTAGGAAAGAAGAATACAAACTAGGAATAGGAAATAAATAGGAAAGAAGAAAACAAAAGATAATTCAAAGAAAATCAAAGCGTAATAGGAAACAGCAGCAACAACATCTATACCAAGAAAAGGGGAAGCTTACGAAAGGAGGAAGTCATAAGAAATATACAAACTACCAAATAAAGGAGTGAAAGGAAGAAGGGGAAATAATTGGAATAGTAATAAACAAGAATGTGGACGGAAATGTAAAGGGGCTGGAGAATAGCGGGAAGGGAAAGTGTCTGGATAAAGGAATGTGAAGCAAAAAAAGAAGAAACGGGTAAGATAATGATAAGAAAAAGAAGCGAAGAGAATAAGAAAGAAAGATAAAACAGATATGATATCAGGACGTAAATAAAAAACAAACAAACAATAAAAAAAGAAAAACGCACTGAAAAAAAACACGATAAGAAGATAACAATAAATAAATAAAGGAAAGAAAAACATAATAAAATCATGTCGAAAAACATATAACAAAAAACGAAAAAAAAAACAGATAACATCTAGAGATAATATAGAATGACATGAATACATTAACATCTAAAACCCAATGAAATAGCAATTGCAAATGTCATAGTGCGGGATGTAGCAACACAAGGGGCCTGCAAGGTGGGTGTGGAATGCAGTGAAATGTTTGAGGTCAGAGACGTGGACGCTGGTAAAGGTTAGACTGTGTAATTAGACGACGGCGAAACACGATAATGAAAAAAACACGGCGGTAAAAAACGGTGGGTTTAAGGACATACGGTAGAAAGTTTGGCCTCTGGTTGATG